GCAGTACACCCTGACCGATGACACGGCTCCTCCGATGTGCGGGGTCTCAGCAATAACCAGTATTCACCAGAGATCCTGATGGTGGGGATGGGTTTTGCTGCATGTTAGTACCGGGTCACAGTCCTCAGGATCTCCACACCAAGAGGTGAGCAAGCGGAGGTCCAGTAACAGATATGGCAGGAAGGGATCAAGCAGAAGTGTAGTCCGTAAACAAGCTAAAGGTCAGTAATGATTGGTAGCGAAGATAAGGACAGCTGCGGGTACACAAAAGGAGCAAGATATCAGCAGGAGAGAGCACAATTATCAGGCAAACAGGCAGTGCAGTGGCATGGCTTAAAGCGGAGTTCCACTCACTCTGTAAAAAAATAAAAGTCAGCAGCTACAAAAACTGTAGCTGCTGACTTTTAAAAAACAGCCACTTACCTGTCCCATGATCCCACGGTGTCACGGGCGGACTGACCATTTGGAAACTCGGGCACTGCCCAAGGGCCCGGGGTCAGTAGGGGGCCCCATGAGATGCCCCTGGTAACTTTTTCATAGGCTTTTTTGAGTTTGGGCAAGGACACAGGGGCCCTATGATCCCATACTGCCCGGGGGCCCCATGAGTTGTCAGTACCCCCTGCATGATGTCCTCCCCCGCAGCCCATTTCAGCGGCCATCCTATGTTCTAGGCGCTGGCATCTTCAGTGTAGGCACCTGGCTGGGACAGCTTGCGGCTTCACATCCGGGTGCTCACTGCGCATGCGCGAGAAGCGCTGCATTTCCTGAATGACCCCTTAGTCTTCTGGGACCTGTCTTGTGTCCCAGAGGACTACAGGGAGGGGAGGGTAGGAGGACAACTTCCCCTTCTGATTGTCTAGGCGATCGCAGCGGAAGTGAGAGCGGGTACCTGTCAATTTTGGGTACCAGCTTCCCAAGGGTGCCAATCCTTATTGGAGAGGGTGAGACACCAGTCTTTAAATCGGAACTTCCCCTTTTGGGTGGAACTCTGCTTTAAAACCGGAAGTTTATGATAGGAGGAAATAGTTCAAGGTTCATGGGAAACAAGAAACAAAGTAAAATTGTTCTAAGACAGGGGTAGGCAACCTGCGGCTCTACAGCTGTTGCAAGACTACAAGTTCCATCATGTCTCTGCAAGTCATAGCTGTAACTGTCAGTTTTGTAATGTTGCAATGCCTCATGGGAAATGTAGTTCCACAACAGCTAGAGAGCCGCAGGTTGCCTACCCCTGGTCTAAGAGATTGGATGGGGAGCTGTTCAGCATCTCAGGTGGCTCATCAAGAAGAGCTGTCCAGCATCTCAGGTGGCTCATCAAGAAGAGCTATTGCCGGATGCTGCAGAGGTTGTGGGTCCAGATCCTGGTCCTGACAAGGTAGCTGTGAGAAATGCCCCTGCCGCAGCTGATTGGGTTAGCAGAGATGGAATCAGTCGATCAGCTTCCCACAGTTTTTCTGCTGAACTGGGTGCAGACAGAGTTTGGACTGAAACCAGCTAATCCCTGGTCTTCAAAAAAGGCCAACTATACAAAAAACAGGTAAGAGAACTGCACCCCCAATGCCCAACGTCCAAAGAGATGTTTTATTAAATAATCACTTGGAAGCAAACCAACTTGTTTGAGGGATTGGGGGAGTCTTCAAACCCCCAGAATCACATTGGATTTCTTTCAGTTGTTTTGCTTGTGAAGTTATTGAACAAATATTAAGTCAATGACATTGAATGCGCCCCTTTGCAAAAGTGCAGTTGCTGGGAGTGACTCAGCCGGAGCTGATTTGGCTGGCAGGAATGTGGTAGCTTCCAATGGGTTCTTCTAAACTTGGTGTGGCCAGAGTCTGGGCCGTATCTGAAACCTCCCCAGTCTTGAGGAGAGGTCAGCTATACAAAAAGCAGTAAGAGCAGCACACAGATGACCAAAGTCCAACGTGATACTTTATTAAATAATCAACTGAATGCGAGCCAATTCGTTTTGGGGATTTAGGAAGTCCTCAAACCACCCAAAACACATTGACTTTCCCCTCAATTGACTTGCTTGTGATGTCATTGACCTAAAATGGCCCCATGGACAAATTAGGTCAATGAAATTTACCAAATATGGCCATATTATGTCAGTGATGTCACTAGCATCCCTGCCTCTTTACATATGTCCAGCTGTGGGGATGACCCATCCGCATCATGTGACAGCTTCCTGCAGGTTCTGCAAAATTGGGTTTGGACTGAATCCAGATCATCCCTAGTCTTTAAGGAAGGACTCCTCTACGAGAAGCGGTGAGAGCACCACACCAACTGTCAAAATAGGAGATACTTTGTTAAATAATCAACTGAATTCAAGACATCATATGGTACAGGGATAGTCATAACAGCCTTGTACCATGTGACAAGTTGTGACCAATCACAGCTCTCACAGTATTTCGCAATGGCTGCAAGAATGCAGCCAGAGAGCAGAAGAAATTATTGTGTTTACAGCCTTTATGGGTGTAAAAGCAATCAGTGTAAAAAAAAAAAAAAACTTCATCACCCCCCACAAGTAGTACAGTGTTACTATGCTGACACTGTACTGCTAGGGTGACAGTATGTTAAAAAAAAACATAAATAATAATATAAAAAAAATTTAAAAAAATTTAATTTTTGGTTATAAACTAATTTGGGATATATATTTTTTTTTACTAAAAAGATAGCTGATACATTTTGGGCACAATTCATGAAGAAAGATTATTTATTTGCAAACTTTTATAAGAAAAACACCTTTTTAAAAATATTTTTGTACTTTTTCATTTATATAGCAAAAAAAAAAAAAAAATCCCAGCGGTGAATAAATACCACCAAAATAAAGTTTTATCTGTCTCAAAAAAATGCTAAAAAATTAATATGGGTACAGTGTTGCATGACCGCGCAATTGTCATTCAAAGTGTGATAGCGCTGAAAGCTTAAAATTTGTCTGGACAGGAAGGGGGGGGGAAAGTGTCCGGACTGGAAGGGGGGAAAGTGTTCGGACAGGAAGGGGGTGAAAGTGTCCGGACTGGAAGGGGGGAAAGTGTTCGGACAGGAAGGGGGTGAAAGTGTCCGGACAAGGGCGGACTGACCATTTGGAAACTCGGGCACTGCCTGAGGGCCCGGGGTCAATAGGGGGCCCCATGAGATGCCCCTGGTACCTTTTTATAGGCTTTTTTTTTTGAGTTTGGGAAAGGACACAGGGGCCCCATGATCCCCTATTGTCCGGGGGCCCCATGAGTTGTCAGTCCGCCCCTGGTCCGGACTTGAAGTGGTTAACAAAATAATCACAGACACCTTTTATCAGGCATCACACTGGAATGTTGTACTGGCCAAACTGTCAATGTTTCAAGTAGTTAAGGAAAGTGGAAAAATAATGCTGGGGCCCTAAGGTTATCCTATTGGTATTGCTATTTTATAAATAAAAATAAAATAAAATCTAACTTTTGTTGACATATTATAAGAATGTCTAATCTGTAATTTGATGCCTTTTGGAGATTTTTCCATCTTTCCTTGGCTTCTTTATACACATTAATACAAATTTGTAGCTGGGGTGCCCAAACTTTCGATCCCCACTGTATATATAATAATATGTGTATGTGTGTGTGTGTGTGTGTGTGTATATATATATGTATATATATATATATATACACATATAATATATATAATATTTATAATACATAAATAAAATAATATATAAATAAAATATGTGTGTGTATATATAAATAAATATATATATATATTATATGAACACTGTCAAATATTTGGTATTCCAAATATATGTCAATATATTTGGGAAGAATAAATTTTAAAATATATTTGGTATTCAAATATATTTTTTCTTCCATGTGCGTGAGGAGGGGGAATATCGATACACAGAGGTTCTTAAGTTTTTTTTCTAGCCCTGGTGAAGGAAGCCATTTGGTTACTCTTTGGCTCTTTGGGTTGTCCCCCTGACTTTTATTAGAATAATGTGGAATTTGGACCTTTTAACAGCGATGTGGCACTTCAATGTCTATTTTTGTTAAATGACACTGTAAGACAAAGAGAACATGCTCTCGGGTGTAGAAGCCGCCTGCCCTGGAACCGGATTATTTATAGCAACATCAATAATTTAAAATAGCAATACCAATAGGATAACCTTAGGGCCCCAGCATTATTTTTCCACTTTCCTTAACTACTTGAAACATTGACAGTTTGGCCAGTACAACATTCCAGTGTGATGCCTGATAAAAGGTGTCTGTGATTATTTTGTTAACCACTTCAAGTCCGGACCATATAAGAATGTCTAATCTGTAATTTGATGCCTTTTGGAGATTTTTCCATCTTTCCTTGGCTTCTTTATGCACATTAATACAAATTTTTTAGCTGGGGTGCCCAAACTTTCGATCCCCACTGTATATATATATATATATATATATATATACACACACACACATATTTTATATATCTATATATATAATGTAAAACATTTTTTAGAAAAATTATAATTTTTTGGCTATAAACTAATTAGGGTTATTTATTTATTTTTTTTATAAAAAGATAGCTGAATACATTTTGGCCAAGATTTATGATTTATGAAGAAAGATTATTTATTTGCAAACTAAATAAGAAAAACACTTTTTTTCAAACTTTTTTGACTTTTTCATTTATATAGCAAAAAAAAAAAAATCCCAGTGGTGAATAAATACCACCAAAATAAAGTTTTATCGGTCTCAAAAAAATGCTAAAAAAAAAGCAAATGGGTTCAGTATTGCATGACCGCGCAATTGTAATTCAAAGTGTGACAGCGCTGAAAGATGAAAATTGGCCTGGACAAGAAGGGGGGGGGGGGGGAAGTGTCCAGACTGGAAGGGGGGGGAAAGTGTCCGGACTGGAAGGGGGTGAAAGTGTCCATACTGGAAGGGGGTGAAAGTGTCCGGACTGGAAGGGGGTGAAAGTGTCCGGACTGGAAGGGGTGAAAGTGTCCGGACTGGAAGGGGGGGAAAGTGTCCGGACTGGAAGGGGGGTGATAGTGTCCGGACTGGAAGGGGGTGAAAGTGTCCGGACTGGAAGGGGGTGAAAGTGTCCAGACTGGAAGGGGGTGAAAGTGTTTGGACTGGAAGGGGGTGAAAGTGTCCGGACTGGAAGGGGGGGAAAGTGTCCGGACTGGAAGGGGGGAAAGTGTCCCGGACTGGAAGGGGGGGAAAGTGTCCGGACTGGAAGGGGGGGGGAAAGTGTCCGGACTGGAAGGGGGTTGAAAGTGTCCGGACGGGAAAGGGGGGGGGGAAAGTGTCCGGACTGGAAGGGGGTGAAAGTGTCCGGACGGGAAGGGGGGGAAAACGTGTCCGGACTGGAAGGGGTGAAAGTGTCCGGACTGGAAGGGGGGTGAAAATGTCCGGACTGGAAGGGGGTGAAAAAATGTCCGGACTGGAAGGGGGTGAAAAGTGTCCGGACTGGAAGGGGGTGAAAGTGTCCGGACTGGAAGGGGGGGAAAGTGTCCGGACGGGAAGGGGGGGGGTGATAGTGTCCGGACTGGAAGGGGGTGAAAGTGTCCGGACTGGAAGGGGGTGAAAGTGTCCAGACTGGAAGGGGGTGAAAGTGTTTGGACTGGAAGGGGTGAAAGTGTCCGGACTGGAAGGGGGGGAAAGTGTCCGGACTGGAAGGGGGGGAAAGTGTCCGGACTGGAAGGGGGGGGAAAGTGTCCGGACTGGAAGGAGGGGAAAGTGTCCGGACTGGAAGGGGGTGAAAGTGTCCGGACGGAAGGGGGGGAAAGTGTCCGGACTGGAAGGGGTGAAAGTGTCCGGACGGGAAGGGGGGGAAAAGTGTCCGGACTGGAAGGGGGTGAAAGTGTCCGGACTGGAAGGGGGTGAAAATGTCCGGACTGGAAGGGGGTGAAAATGTCCGGACTGGAAGGGGGTGAAAGTGTCCGGACAGGAAGGGGGGAAAGTGTCCGGACAGGAAGGGGGTGAAAGTGTCCGGACTGAAAGGGGGTGAAAGTGTCCGGACTGGAAGGGGGTGAAAGTGTCCGACTGGAAGGGGGTGAAAGTGTCCGGACTGGAAGGGAGTGAAAGTGTCCGGACTGGAAGTGGTTAATTTATCAACATACGTGTTTATTTATTTCTGGATTTATATATCCTTACCTATATTAGGTGCCTTTATTTTAAATGTATAATTAAGATCAGAAAAACCTCTGAAGCATTTGCGTATGTATAAGACTCACCCCGGTTCACATGTATGTGGGCCGCATTTTGCACAGGCACGAGATCCCGTTCGTTTTAATGTCCTGTGCCCCATGACACGCAGGGAAGAAGTCCCGCACTTCTTTGGATAACAGAGCCCGCACGGGAACCTCGGTCCCCAGGACAGTTGCGTTTTCCAGTTCCGGCGGCGTGCCATGAGAACTAATGGCATCCACCCGCGGGTCCACAATTCTCTGTGTGGGTGGTGCGGCTGCACGGATTTTCATGCGGATCTGCAGCGGCACCACCCGCACAGATGTAAATGAATGCCCAAATGCATTTTTTTTTCTATAATTCTTAAAAATGTATCAATTTGTTAAAGTGTTTGTATTCATGATGGAATGGTGGAAATGAACGGCATCTCGATCCGTGTCTCCAAACTTTTTCTTTTCCAAGCCTATTTTGGCGTCGACATTTTTAAAAAAAATACATAATTAGGCAGAAACTTCTTTTTTCCTAAGTTCACCGGAGATTTCACGTGTCTCCTGTCTCTTAAAAATGATCGTCGAGCAGATGGCGGGTAATCTTCTGTCTCAGAGGGAACGTTTTTATTGCGTGGATCTCTTGACTTCCTATCACCAAAACCGTCAAGTCGAATGGTTGCCGAACCGCCCCCGCTCGCCTCTTTCCCGTATTGTCTGCGTTGAAGGCCGGGGGTGACAGCTTCTAACGCGCGCCTAAGATCATCTGTTTGTATTAGTAAGAGAATTTAGCAGCTAAAGCCCTCATTAGTTGCGATTATTATGAATCATTCTCCTGCATTTGTCTCTCCATCGTTCTGCGGGGAAATAAAACATTTGTAAGGAAATTAAGTTTAGGTAGTACAAAGCGTCAGGTTCATTAGAGGCTGTCAGATTTATATCATTACCTATATTACACGCGAGGATTATTATTCTGGATGCAGCGCTGTGCATCCGTACACAATAACCAGAGGAACCGGCGGTAATTGAAAATTAATCCTTGAAGTATGTACTGGGAGGAGAGTCTACCTGCCGAAGGATTATGATTTCCATCAACGCTTTGCTTGGCTCTGCCATAGGGGAAGGCAAGCTCAGCGCTCCGGCTGCGGTGAAACTACAAATCCCATCATGCCTCTGACTTTGGGAGTCATGCCCATGGCTGTGAGAGTCTTGCAATGCCTCTTGGGGCTGTAGTTCAACCAGGGTGGCAGTGGTGGAAGCTAATGGTGGTGGGGGTATGGGGGGGAGTGTCTAAAAATCTGAATAATAAAAAGAATCTGAATAATAAAAAGGAATGTTAATCAATAAAATAATAATAACAAATGAAAAAAATATGAAAAATATTTTAAAATACATTTTCAAATATACTGTATGTCTTTAAAAATACATTTAATCCACACGGAACTGGCGGGAAATTCAAAAATGTAAAAAATGTGACACTCAATACACTAAAATCACATAGTATAACATTCCTGTATCAAACCATTTCACATACATTTTGTCCCGAGTGCTTTGTCCGGCGCCCTGCCTGCATTTTTACTGTTCTTTCTGCCTGGAAACTGAGAAACGTCCATGGCGTCCAAAAAGCGTCCCTTTAGGTCAAAATCGTTTTTTAGACCGGCTAGAGAACAGCGATAGTAAATCAGAACCACTTGCAGATTGAGTGATAATGATTCGTGGGGGAAATTCCTCATCAGACACTGAAAACGATTCTGCGACTTTGCTCAGCGATGTGCGAACTTGGCGCTCTATTTCACATTTCAGTGTTTTTGGTTTTATGACATTATTGAATTACATTTATTATTATTATATTATTTTTTATGATTATTTATTATATTATAATTTATGATTTTGTGCTTCAAATTTTATCATCCCCGGGATGTTTACTAGACTCTTGTTCAGACAGATTTCAGTGAGTTATTCCTAAAAATTATAGGCCTACAATAAAAAAAAAAAATACATATTTCCATGCAAAAAAATGTACCGCTTTGAGCACAGAAATACTGACATCATCAGACCGCTAGGGAGGCTAACAATGAAAATATAGATAAAGCATACCAGTGTACACAAAATTATATAAAGCTAAATGAAAAAAGAGGCAGCAAATTTCCAGTCGATGATAGCATTCTGTTCAATAGCAGTACATGAAGATCAGTAGTGATTGGATATACAAAAGGGAGATTTTCTGAGCACCAGGGAGGAGGCCACCAGTCCGAGAATACCTCAAATCAAATTGGGTAGCAAACGCCAAGCCGTTGTTATATATATATATATATATATATATATATACACAGGGGTGTGTTTACCAAAAGGCAAACACGGCATTTGCATAGGGTGGCGTTTTTCAGGGGGGCAGCACTCAGAAGAACGGACAGAAGAAGGGACACACGCGGCTTGGGGACCAGGTAGGATCCGAGAGAGGCTGCAGGCTGCTCGATGGTGTATGCGGAGCCTGACTCTAAATACATCAGCGGTTCATATAGTGAACTCTGTGTAGTTATTCCCCCTGAGGTCATCACGGAGGACAAGGGGGAGCTCTTTACATCTGGAGGAAAAGAAATATAATCTCCAAACACGAAAAGGTTTCTTCACAGTAAGAGCTGTGAGAATGTGGAATAGACTCCCTCAAGAGTTGGTTGTGGCCAGCTCAGTGGATTGCTGTAGGAAAGTCCTGGGTTCTTTCTTGGATACACAGAATATAACTGGATATAACATTTATAGGGAAAGTTGATCCAGGGAATATCCAATTGCTCTCAGGGGTTCAGGAAGGAATTTTTGTCCCTGCAGGAGCAAATTGGATCGTGCTTTGCTGGTTTTTTTTGCCTTCCTCTGGATCAACTGTGGGTGTAGGATTATAACTTTTTTTTTTCCTATGGTTGAACTGGATGGACTTTTGACTTTTTTTCAGCCAGACTATGTAACTAGGGGATGTCTGGAGCTGTGAAGGTGAGTGCCTTTCTCTCTCTTGCTGGGTGGGGGGTGGCTGGTGTATGGAGGGTGATGGTAGTGGAAAGCTCTCTCGGGTTGGGGGGCAGGGTGTTGGTTGGTGATCGATTTTTGTGTTGCCTAAAACCTAAATACACCACTGTGGATATATATATATATATATATATATATATATACACACACACACAGTATGCTGGGGGGGATCTATTGCTGTGGGGGGGGGGGCATTGTCATTGGGACCGAAAGAGATGCAGAAACTAGAATGATATGGTCGAGTTGAAAGGAACAGCTTTGACAAGCGATTCAAACATTCCCTAGTTTTTTGGCTAGAGGAACATTTTACATCATTAAGGCTGATTAATAGGCTTGAGTGGTTCAAGTCACCAGGCGGGAGGTTTCCTGGCCGGGGAAATGTATTATATTGGCATGTAACAAGGTAAACTAAATTAAAAACTTCCATATTGCTTGACTTATTTCTATTAGCCACCACTGGCAAAAGGAAAATGCAATCATTGAACTGCTAATGCAATTAATTAAATGTTGCAGCTGTAGAAAATTTTGAAACTTCAGCCTTGCATCTTAAAATCCAGCTTTTAGGGGCTCCTGTGGCTGTTTCATCGGTGGGCACCTTGGAGGGACAACAGTAAAAGGGGGGCAGAAGTTAGGAAAGTTTTGGAACCAGGGATGAAGCAATGGTAGGAGTACTGTACTGCAGGGAGAGGATCTTTTTTTTATGGAGCTAAAAGTTACTGCTGATCTCCAATTAACAACACAATAATAATAATAAAAATAATAAAAAAGAAAGTCCCCAACAATAAGATCAGCCAGGGATTTTTTTCAGCAGGAACATGGGGGAATGCAGTTTTGGCATCATGTACAGTATGTAATGACAAGAGGTGATGGGGTGTGCTGGAGGGTCTGTTGATGTCCGTTGTTGGGGGATTTGTTGTTGCTGGAGGATCTATTTTTGCTGGAGAGGTCCATTGTTGTTGGCTGCAGGGGATCTGTTGTTGCTGGGGGGGAGGTTTTATACAGCTGGGAGTGTATTGTTGCTGGCTGCTGGAGGGTCTCTTGAGGGCTGGCTGCTGGGACCTGGGAGATCTATTAATGCTGGGGGGTGTCTATTGTTGTTGAGAGGGATTTTGTTGTAGGGGGTCTATTGTGGCTGGGGGTATCTATTGTTTTTGGCTGCAGGGGATCTGTTGTTGCTGGGGGGGTCTTATACAGCTGGGGATGTATTGTTGCTGGCTGCTGGAGGGTATCTTGATGCTGGCTGCTGGGACCTGGGAGATCTATTAATGCTGGGGGGTGTCTATTGTTGTTGAGAGGGATTTTGTTGTAGGGGGTCTATTGTGGCTGGGGGATCTACTGTTGGCTGCAGGGGATCTATTGTTTCTGGGGGTTCTTATGCAGGTGGGGATGTACTGTTGCTGGCTGCTGGAGGGTATCTCGATGCTGTCTGCTGGGAGATCTATTAATGGTGAAGGGTGTCTATTGTTGTTGGGAAGGTATTTTGTTGTAGGGGGTCTATTGTGGCTGTGGGGATCTATTGTTGTTGGCTTCAGGGAATCTATTGTTGCTTGGGGGTCTTATGCAGCTGGGGGTGTATTGTTGCTGGCTGCTGGAGGGTCTCTTGATGCTGGCTGTTGGGAGATCTAT